TGTGCATCTGTGTGTCTGTGTCTGCGTCTCTGTCTGCTTCTGTGTCTGTGTCTGCGTCTGCATCTGCATCTGTGTGTGTCTGTCTTTCTCTCCATGCATGTACAACAGCATATTATCCCAATAAGAATATTACCACTATCTTCCAGCTGTAGCAAAGCCTAAACCTCCATCGCTAGCAAGAGAACTATACTGCATGGAATCACAGCACACTATATATTTTCACCGAAAAGCAAGGCATTCTGGACAGCAACTTTATATTTCCTATAAAATGAATATCAGGTTAATAAGGTTTCACTTATTTGAACATTATCAACAACTGCAAGCCCAACTTTTGAAGAATTAAAGGATGCTTTTAAAGACTTATCAACACAAATACAAGGATCATGCAAATAATTTTACAATAAAACATATATAAATAAGTAAAACAGACAAAGATACTTCACACATAAAATAGTACATTATAATTCCTTAATGACTTCCTCCATAATGACAACAGTAATACAACTTCCACTGGGTAAAAGATGAACTACAATACACAATACAGAATTTGCTCTGTAATATAAAATGAAACGTCTGACAGTTTTATTTAGGAGCACCTGGCGGCAGTCTAAAATTTAGGTTTGAAAAGATATATTCTCAGTATGATGATTATAGGTAAGAAAAAGAAGCACAGTTGTACAAAGTCACATAAATAATCTTCCATTATTGATTAATAAACTGCTATATCAATATTCGATATGGACAACAATGAAGTAGTTTAACTGGGCCTTTAACTTGTATATGCACAGCTCACCAAGAAAACATTTCTCTTACAAAAAAAATCAGAGATTTGAATTGAAGTTTTAACTTCATATTCAGAGAGAGGAAAAAAGAAGAACCAACCCCGAGAAGTTTTGACTTCACATAAAAGTTAAATATGGTTATATAAATACTGTCTTCTCTGGACCAGTAATCTGCTTTCTCACTTTCAGATTTCTTAATACACAACCTGAATGTTTCCTACCCCTAATGCTATGTTGCTAACAATTTACATATGTACCAAAATGAGATGATGTCTGATATAGAAAAAATAGGCAAACATTCCAGACAAGTTAGGGGACTTGCATATTCATAATAACTATTGCATATTCCGAAATCCCCAAAACCCCCTCCCCTATGTATATGCCTCCCTACCTTTGCAAGTTTATTTACAAAGTTAAATGTAAAAAAAATGTCATAGGAATGAAAAGGACTGCAGTAGCCACAAGCAGGGCAAAATGGAGTGAGAAGTTTTTAAAAGATCTCAGGTGTATGTATATATATATATGTATATATATATATATATATATATATATATATATATATATATATATATATATATATATATATATATATATATATATGATGGATGATATACAAAGATCATATTAGCCCATACATCTTACAACCATATATGTAAGTATTAAGATTTTACATACATGCAAGCAGGCACACACAAACAAACACACAAAAACACACTCTCTTATTCAATCAGTCTCTCTTCTGTCATACAGTAATATCTGTAACTTGGAAGGAAGGAAATAATCTAAAAAAAATAATAATAATAAAAAAAAATAAAATACGAAAAAAGCTGCCTTAATATGAAAAAAAAACTAACCTATCCTATCATCTACTACAATGCCAACATAACCTGTATGGAAAACAATCACAAGGAAATAATCACAAGTGTCTAAACAACCTTTACATGCTGGGAAAGGGCAAATTATAGAGAGGGAAAGGGAGGGAAAGGAAAAAGTTAAGAAATACCAATTGTTTCAACAATGCCAGCATTGTTTCTTTGGGAGGTCTGTGTATCCCTTGGGTTTTAAGTCTGAGTGGGAAGCTATGTGCCCTGGAAGACTCCTAAAACTACTATAGACATGCGCCCTGTTACGTGGTGATAATAATCGATACCTGGTATTTCATAGGTGTGATTGACATCATACAATTCATCCAGCTAGAGTCAACATTTCAAAAAGTTGCAGTAAGTAATAGTACTTCCCTTGCAATAATAATATAATAATATAATTATAATGTAATAATATATAATCATAATGTAATAATAATGTATAATGATATTAACAACATTATCAATAATAATAATGAGCTTAATAATGGCAATGGATGGTGATGATGATAAAGATGATGATCATAATCATGAAAAAATATCTTTATATAATAAAAATAGTAGTAGTAGTAGTAGAAGTAGAAGTAGAAGTAGTAGTAGTAGTAGTAGTAGTAGTAGTAGTAGTAGTAGTAGTAGTAGTAGTAGTAGTAGTAGTAGTAGTAGTATAATAATAATAATAATAATAATAATAATAATAATAATAATAATAATAGTAGTAGTAGTAGTAGTAGTAGTAGTAGTAGTAGTAGTAGTAGTAGTAGTAGTAATAATAATAATAATAATAATAATAATAAATAATAATTACAACAATCAACATGAATAAGAATACAAATGTTATCAACTTTCACCATTATTCCCTGTTCCAGGTACCTCAGGGAAGACAATACAACATACATTTGGCATAATTCTATCACAATCACTACAAAATGGAATTCATGGTTACATCATCATGAAGTGTGTGAGCACAGTATCATTCAGTCTCTTACACTAGTCCATATTCCATTTTTTTTTTTTTTTTCATAAAGATTTGATTTTCATTTACATTTTTCCATTGAGCACAGGTCAGAGAACAAGACTATCAATAAATTCAAAGCTATGGGAAATAAAGGTAGAATTGGCAAAAGGAATATCATACATAATCATCTACAAACATAATTTCTATGGATACAAGAATCTACTTTTATCAATATAGAGCAGAAACTTTAAATCTTTATACAGTAATCTGCATACAATTTTTTTTTTATTCAAATCCAAATGAGGATAAAAAATTGCATTCCAAAATAGATACTTGGTTTGTCTTTAGCTTAGAATAAAATTTTCTTAGAATAATAAAGATTTCTTTACATACTAACCAATTTGCATATATGTATAAATATTAAATGTATATATTCTTTTATGTAGATAAGTTTCAACAAAAAAGTCATATAAGTAAAACCAACCTATACTTACACTGAAATGGTTAAAAGTAAACATGAATATACTGAATTATATGCATATTCAACCAACAGTTATCATGTATAATTATGAAATTAAACCTCCAGTTTGCACCACAATATGCAGCACTCTATAACAACCATATATGTCTATAATTTCCAATATTAACAACTGAAATTATGAAAAGTAAGAGACTATCATATTCACATTGAAGAGCATTTTCTATTCTACCTTGAATAACTGCTCTAAAAACTGAATATCATGACCTCTATTATCACAGACCAATTAAAATATCCCTGCACCATGTGCTACTATAAATCCCTAGCACAACTATCAAGCACAGCTAGCTTCTATACATCATGTACTTTGGACTGGTTAGTGTCATCTACCGGTTTCTGCACTGGGACTGGTTCTTTGCCTTCTTCTACAGGATCATCTGCTGTATCCAACATGGATCTGAAAAGCATAATTGCATGGCATTCCTTGGCTGCTCACTATCTCAATACTATTATAGGTACATGATTTCTGAAAGAAAATCCTCACAGGGAGAGAAAAAAGCAGAGAGAAAGACAGAATAAGACAGGGTTGGGCATTTCATTATAATTGGGAAAAGCCAAAACCCAGTAACACTTACTCTCTGGCTAAAGCCTCTTGTTTGTTATGCAACTGTGTCTGAAGTATAGCCACTTCCTGCTTGAGGGAGGAAAGGCAAGTCTCTAGACTAGTGAGCGGCAATGTGGATCGGGGCGGACGGGCAGATCTTTCCATAAGCTGAGTGAGAGACGTGAGGTCCAGAGGGGAGGGGGAGGGGATCACCCCCGCCTCTGAGCTAATGGTTGATTCTTCAGCTTCCTGGGCTTCTCTCTCTGCTTTCTGAATCTGCAAAATGGCAAGCAACTTCTGAAAAAATCTGTGATCCTATGAAGCAGCTTTTAAGCTCTTTGTCATAATCAAATCTTTATGTAAAAATACAGATAGTCCCCTACTTAAGAACATTCTATTTACGCACATTCCGTACATATGAACTTTTTTCTTAAATACTTAAGTCAAAAAAATTGTTTGAAAGATGCTAGCAAATTTCAAATTTCACGGGCACAAATATAGTTCACGAGTCTGCCACAAGTCTGACTCACTAACCCAATACCGACGGGTATGACGTGCACGTACGTGCTATGCCCACTGTGAGTACTTGTTTGATTGTTTTTACACATAGATGACAACACTTGTACTAAGTCACCAATGAGCCATTTACGAGTACTGCCCATCTCACCCACTTACCCTTTTCTTTGATTTACAAAATATTTTATGTTATCTTAGTTTGCTGTTACTAATGTTAAAAAACATTATAATAATTGTAATATTCAAAATAAAAATAACACCATCAATATTCATAGCACTAGTGAAAAATACGTTTTTCCCGCCATTTCAAATCAGACACTAGCAGAGCCATCAATGGGCAGACATTTCACAAAAATATAGAGAATAGGCACAGCATTTTCCCCCTTTTTTGTTCATTTTTCCCAGCAGTATTGGGTTAGAACAAGTACAAGTGTAAATCAGGTACTTGATACATGGGACATATGTCAGACTTACTTTGAGTTGCCCCAAAGCTGTGTGTAAGGCTGTACGCAATTCCACTGCTTGCGTCTGATAGCTGACTCTTTCCCGCTGCACCTGACTAAGCTGAGTAGTAAGAGCTGCGACCTCCTGTCTGGCACGAGCAACACTCTGCTCCAGTTGCTCTACTGTTATTTGGTGGGAGGCAACCTTGGCATCCAGCTGTTCTCTGATCTGATTCACTTCTTCAGAGCTTGCCTTCAGTTGGCCTTCCACCACCTGTTTCACATGAGAAAAATAATCACATGATAAAAAATAAATAAATAAATAAAGTATTTTTCCCATTCAACAAATTATGAACATATGGAACTACATCCCCTCACAACAGATTCTTTAAAAAAAAATCTTCAATCTAAACTCACAATATATTTTTTAAAATATCTTCAGTCTAAACTCACAGCAGTTTGGATATAAAACATACCATGATCTGGCTCTCAAAAGCTGCAATTTTGGCTATTGAGTCTTGGAGCTGCGTCTTCGTGTTTTGTAGTTCGTTCGTTAACAAAAGCTTTTCTTCTTTCACCTTCTGCATTTCAGAAGATATCTGTTGTGTTTTGCTATCTACTTCCTTCACACTGTTTTGAAGCTTGGCATTTTTACTTTCCAATTCTGTTATGCGTGCTTCTGCACCTGAGAGATCCTGTTCCTTTGACTTCAGCGTCTCACTCAAGGTTTGCATCTCAGTCTCTAACTGCTCCTTCTGAAATCATAAAAGAAAACATGCATATAAAATAACCAATCACAAAACAGTGTTTCACAGAAACCTACACCAGACAAGAAAATGTAGTAGTAACAAAATGCAACAATAACAGAGTACAAAAACAACAAATATAACTCAAAAAGGGATGAAGTTACAAATACATACCAAACGCCTGACATCATCTAGCTCTGCCTGCTTTATTGCCATCTTCTCACTGAGAGTACTTGAAGAAGATTGGGCTTTCTGGAGCTCTTCTTGGCCTAATCTCAATTCCAGTTCCATTTTTTTAAGTTGTTGGTCCCTCTGAGCAATGGTTTCCTTAAGGCTCAGGACATCTTGGCGTAGGTTGTCTGAAGTCTTCCCAAGTTCTGTTGACAATGAGCAGAAAGTTGAATACCGTATCTACTTCCCAAGATCTATATAATATAAAAGTATATTCTCATGCTACTCTGAACAGCAGCCATGACAAGCTCTGAAGAAATTTTGTTTCATGACTCTACCTATGCCTTCAATGTGTACATGTAACTTTTACAAGCTATCTCAGATATAGAAATCTGTATTGTAATTTAAAATTTGAGACCCAGGATACATATCTCTATCATATTTTTAGAAAATATCAGTTATCTATTTTAGATGATTAAATTTCCATTTTTGAAAACCTTACCTTACCATACCTTACATTCTTGTAAAATATTATATAAAAAAATCATACATATTACAACTAAATCTATACATGTTAAAAAAAAAAATCAACAATAACTGTATTAACTGTATTCAATACTTACCCTGAAGTCTGCCAATCTCCTTCTGCAGCTCTAAGGTATTGTTGTGATGATCATAGGCCTCCTGACGAGACCTCTCCAGAGCTCCGCGCACTTCTTCCACTTCGCTCTCAAGACTGGACACTTGACCCTCCAATGACTCACTACGACCTTCAAGCTCTATGTATCTGAACAAATATTGAAATGACAGTTTTCTTAATATAAAGATGATAATGACAGTGAAAATAAGATTCCAAAAATAAAAGGAAATTATGGATGAAAATTCTTCTAGTACAACTTACATTGTAACTCATGCCTCCATGATAATACATTTAATGAATATCAGTTTACCTGCATCTCAGCACAGAATATCTCTGTTGCTCCTCATTCAGTATACGTTGGTGGTCTTCAGCCTGCGTCTGCATCTCCTTCTCTGCTGACTTGCGTCCCTTCATGTGCTCTTTCAGCTTCCTGGTTAAGAGACGGACATTTGACTCATATCGTCTTTGCTTTTCCTGGAACTCTTTGGTCATAACTGCCATTTTTGTTTTGACTTCCTCTAACTCACTATTTTTGGATTCAGCTGCACACTCCAGGCTTTTGACTTTAGCTGTCATCATTTGTATTTCTGAACTGTTGTTTTCTGCAATTTTCCCAGAGTTGCTATCGCAAACGTCAGTCTCCCCAGATACCCGCAGTTGTTCTATCTTTTGAAGGAGGTCATGAATCTTTTTCTTATAAACTGATTCTGGAACTGAATCCTCCAACACAGATTCAACTGCTACCTGAGAGTTAACTGATGAGGAACTGAGACAAGGAGCTCTTGCTTCGTCTTCTTTATAAAAGCTCAGTCTGTGTTGAAGGTTCTGAATTTGCTTCTCCTTGTCTTGCAAAGCTTTGGAGGTTAAATTTACCTGAGCCTGCAAATCTGCCATGGTTTTATCAAACTGTGTGCCATTTGTCACTGTTGCATGTGGTGGTTGGCAGAGGTAACCAAGGTTGTTCATGGGTGCTCCTGGTACAAGACCTTGAGTACTATCATGGTCCACTGCTGACATGCCAAGTCTCTCTTGGTTTTTACTGAATGTCTGGTCGGCACTACCCCTCCCTGAGAACCCTAACTGTACTGCTGGTTGGGTGCTTGTGTCTCGCTCAGGAATGCAATCTCTTAAGCTTTCAAATTTAGCCATCCACTCCTCTTTCTCAGCTTCTGCATGCTTTAGTTGTACTTGATATTGCATAATATTGTCATGGGACTGCTGGGTAAGTTCCTCAAGGTTAGAGATTTTTTGTTGAAGATCTTCCTTCTCCTTATTCAAGACATCTATCCTTAGGCAGAGCTCATCTTCTCTTTCTTTTAGAATGCTATTTTGACCAGATGTTTCATTCAAGGAAGAATTCAGAGTGGTTATATCTTTCTCTTGATTCTCTATTTTTGTTTCTAAATCTTTAAGCTTCAGGTTAAAGGCTTCATAGTCTTTCAGCTTCTCTTTACAAGCTTCCAAGTCCTTGCATTTTGACTTAAGAGACTCAAACTCTTTCATTTTTGCTCTCATTAATAAGTTTTCTTTCTTGGTGCTTTTCATGGTAGACTCTAAACCTTCCTTCTGCTTCAAGGCATCCTTCAGCTTTGTGTCATTCTCACGAACTTTAGCTTGCAATATTGAGATTTCTTTTTGTAGATTATCTATATTCTTTCCACCCTTCTTTTTGCCTCCTTCCTTGTATTCATTTGCAGCTGCGGAGTCCTTCACTAAAGTTGCATTCACAGTGGGTGTTTTCTTCAGGTGAGTGTTCTCAGCCAGGAGCTGAGTGACTTGTTCGTTTAATCTATTTTTCTCCTGATTTATTCTTGATATTAGAGACTGTGCATCAGTATGGGACTTCTTCATGGTATCCAATTCTCCTATTTTCATCTGTAACTTATTTGTCAGCTCTCTGACATTTCTGTCTTTCTCCTCTTCTAAATGTGCAAGGTTTTTCTTTGTGTCCTGATGGGTTTTCGAGATGGTATCTAGCTGTGTCTTTAAGGAGGTTATAATGTCCTCTTTTTCCTTTTGAGATCTAGTGTGCTTATCATTTAATTCTTTTATTTCTTCATTTAGTTTACCCTGTAATTGACTATTTTCTTTCTTTAACAACTGAAGTTCTTTTAATAATTCACTGTGTGTTTGCTCAATAACTTCCTTCTTTTCAGCTATCTTGTTTCTTTCATCCTTTTCAATTTGGAGTGCCTTAGTCAGTTCAGCAACAGTTTTTTCATTATTTTGCTTCTCTGACAAGATTTTTGCCTTTTCTTCCTCATGCAACTTAACAAGACTCTCAATCTTCCTTTCCATATTCTGTTTTAGCTTTCTTTCCTTCTGTATACTCTCCTTGAGTTCAGCTTTCTCTCTCTTCTGCATCTTCTCATGTTCCATATATGCTTCTGACTCTTGTCTTAAGGCCAAAGTCTCTTCCTTTAAAGATTCCCACTGTCTGCGTAACTCTATGTAGGTCTTCTCAAGGGATGAGTTTTGTTCATGAGCCACATACAGCTCCTCATCCTTCTTGAGGATAGCTTCTCTATAGTTTTCTACACTTCCCTGCATATTTTGGATCTGCTCCTCCCGCAATCGAACAGCCTCACCCAAACCCTTTTTCTCTATTTCTAGAGATTTCAGAACTTGCTTCATACCAACTTGCTCTGATTCTGCCTTTTCTCTAGCAGATGACAACTCTTTTATTTCTTGCTTCAGCTCACTCATCTCCTTCACAAGTTTCTTTTTCTCTTCATCTTCAATGGTCTTCTTTTCTAGAGCTTCATATTTTTTCTCTAATTGTGTTCTTGCTGTCAAGAGTTCTTCTGCCTCTTTCTTATGTACTTCAATCTGCCGGTCCTTGGCTGCCAGATCATGCTTCATTCTATAGAAGCTGGAGGAAAGTTTTGTCATGTCCTCTCTTACTTTGATGATAGCATCATCTACTTCTTTCTTCTCGTTACTTGCTGCTGCAAGTCTCACCTCAAGCTTCAGTTTTTCTTCCTTCAACATGTTTATTGATGTATCTTTGGTCTTACCTTCCTCTTGATGTTTGCTTAAAGATGACTTTAATTCATCAACAGTTTGCTCAAGATTTGATATGCGAATGTCTCTTTCACCTAGAACTTCCTGGTTAACTGCTTCAGATGTCCTTAAATCCTTTAATTCATTTTCATACCTTGATAGTAAGCTACATTTATGCTTCAGATCATCTTTGACAAAGTCAAGTTGTCTCTCAGTATCACCAAGATCTAATCGAAGTTTATGTATTCGTTGCCTATCCTGCTCCAGTCTCTGTCTCCTGTCTTCCATAAGTTTTGTATCACTGCCACGATCCCGCTCCAGTTGAGAGACAAGTGCCTCACGCTCTGCCATGTCAGCCTGGAGAGCTTCGAGGTGCGCAACCAGAGAGGCTTTCTCTCGCACTGCTCTTGCTTGCCCATCCTCTGCCTCCCGCTTCATGGTTTGTACAGTTATCTCTAATGAATCTTTCTCTGATGTAATTTTGGCTAAACTTGACTTGGTATCTAAAAGATCTTGTTGTAGTTTTGCTCTTGCAACTTGTGCGATCTGTAACTGTTCCTGATACCAAAGGCTGGAAGCATTGGATTTTTGCAGTTCCATTGCAGATTTATTGGCAGCAGTTTCTGCCTGGATTTGTGCCTTTGTTTTTACCTCACAGTCCTCTTGTACCTGCGATAACCGAGCCTTCAGACCATCTAATTCTGCTTTCATGTTGGTTTCTGCATCCATGAACTGGCTTATTCTCATCTCTAGCTGCTCATTCTTTGAAATGTGATCTTTAATTAATGACTGTGAGTTCTCATAGTCCTTGGATATTCTCTGAATCTTCTCTTCTGCATTTTTGAGATTCTCCTCCAGGTCCTTATTAGCTTCTTCATACTTTTGCAACCTTGCACTCATCCTTGATTCTGCATCCTTTGCAACAGAAGCAGCATCTTTACTGGCTTCAGATTCCTTCAGTGCTTCAGATATTTTGGATTGCAACTGGTTCTTCTCATAAACAGTATTCTCAAGTTCCTTGCAGTTTTAATACCTCAAAATACTGTTTCTGATTTGTCTCAGTAATTTTTGTCTGCATCAGCTCAAGTTGCTGCTGATACAGTTCTTTTTCTCTTCATCTTCAATGGTCTTCTTTTCTAAAGCTTCATATTTTTTCTCTAATTGTGTTCTTGCTGTCAAGAGTTCTTCTGCCTCTTTCTTATGTACTTCAATCTGCCGGTCCTTGGCTGCCAGATCATGCTTCATTCTATAGAAGCTGGAGGAAAGTTTTGTCATGTCCTCTCTTACTTTGATGATAGCATCATCTACTTCTTTCTTCTCGTTACTTGCTGCTGCAAGTCTCACCTCAAGCTTCAGTTTTTCTTCCTTCAACATGTTTATTGATGTATCTTTGGTCTTACCTTCCTCTTGATGTTTGCTTAAAGATGACTTTAATTCATCAACAGTTTGCTCAAGATTTGATATGCGAATGTCTCTTTCACCTAGAACTTCCTGGTTAACTGCTTCAGATGTCCTTAAATCCTTTAATTCATTTTCATACCTTGATAGTAAGCTACATTTATGCTTCAGATCATCTTTGACAAAGTCAAGTTGTCTCTCAGTATCACCAAGATCTAATCGAAGTTTATGTATTCGTTGCCTATCCTGCTCCAGTCTCTGTCTCCTGTCTTCCATAAGTTTTGTATCACTGCCACGATCCCGCTCCAGTTGAGAGACAAGTGCCTCACGCTCTGCCATGTCAGCCTGGAGAGCTTCGAGGTGCGCAACCAGAGAGGCTTTCTCTCGCACTGCTCTTGCTTGCCCATCCTCTGCCTCCCGCTTCATGGTTTGTACAGTTATCTCTAATGAATCTTTCTCTGATGTAATTTTGGCTAAACTTGACTTGGTATCTAAAAGATCTTGTTGTAGTTTTGCTCTTGCAACTTGTGCGATCTGTAACTGTTCCTGATACCAAAGGCTGGAAGCATTGGATTTTTGCAGTTCCATAGCAGATTTATTGGCAGCAGTTTCTGCCTGGATTTGTGCTTTCTGCTTCATGTTGGTTTCTGCATCCATGAACTGGCTTATTCTCATCTCTAGCTGCTCATTCTTTGAAATGTGATCTTTAATTAATGACTGTGAGTTCTCATAGTCCTTGGATATTCTCTGAATCTTCTCTTCTGCATTTTTGAGATTCTCCTCCAGGTCCTTGTTAGCTTCTTCATACTTTTGCAACCTTGCACTCATCCTTGATTCTGCATCCTTTGCAACAGAAGCAGCATCTTTACTGGCTTCAGATTCCTTTAGCGCTTCAGATATTTTGGATTGTAACTGGTTCTTCTCATAAACAGTATTCTCAAGTTCTTGTTTCAGCATTTCCAACTGTCCCTCTAAATTTGCTCTTTGTTTTAATACCTCAAAATACTGTTTCTGATTTGTCTCAGTAATTTTTGTCTGCATCAGCTCAAGTTGCTGCTGATACAGTTCTTTTTCTCTTACTGCATTTTGGACTTGGATGGATAATCTGTGAAGCTGTATCTCTAAATCCTCTTTTTGTGCTTGAAGATCCCTGATAATCTTTTCATAATCTACAACTGGCACCGGTTTTGATGTGGCTGATTTACTGTTTGCTTTATTTACAAGTTTTTTATAGTCATCTGGAGGTATCACAGCATCTGATACAAGGCGTTTAATCCTAATATATTCATCCTCATACCCACTCAGATCAGACAATGTTGATAAATTGGATGAGGTGTCTGAAAAGTTTGAAGAAAGTTCTGCTCCCCCACTAGATTTGTCTGAGTGATTGTCAGAGGCATTGGAAACGTGTTCTAAAGCCTGACGCATCTGCATAATTGCTGCTGAGAGTACTGGTCTTGTTATAGGTCCTGCTGCATCACTTCTTGCATCATTGAGACTGGTTTTTGATGATGAAGCCTGACTACGTGAGATTGGTGTGAGTTCAGAACTGCTTTGAGAAATGAGTGTACTTCCACTTGCCACTGATGTACCTGCTGAAGATCCACTGGCTACAGAGGACTGTGAGGCATGGTGGTCGGCACGCTTCTGCTTCAGTTTCCTTGAACGGCACTTTCGCTTAGCAGGCCCTGAGGGAGGACGGTGTTCTGACTCACTTTGCCCAATGTATGATCGTTTTTCTACTGTAGTTGTGATAACACCAGCTGGATACTGATGCACTTCTCGGTAAACTTCAACTGGTCCATGATCACTCATACCAACAGGAACAGTAATAACTCGACTATTCTTCCTAACCAATTGTTCTGATCTTCTTTGTTCCTCTGGCAGTGATACAACACTGATCTGTCTTAAAGGTTCTGTCACTCCAGCTTGAATATCTGCAGATGCTATACTCTTTATCTGGACATTATCAGAGTAACCATTACCAGCTGGACTAAATGTTTGCAACTTCGTGGTGGAAAGTTGATGCACTTTGGGCTGGAGAACAGACTGTAGTGAACCTAACAACTTTCCTGTGGGAATATCCTTTGTATTGACTGGTTCTGGGAAGCTATATGGATGCAAATCACTGGTCTTCTCTGTAACTGCATTAACCACAGGAGAACCTCCATTTGCACTAGATACCTGCTTTATCGTCTTTTTCTCCATGGTGCACAGAACTTGATCTAGGACTTCCTGTGACACTGGGGGGATCCTAAGAGGACCTATAAAACAAAATAAGAAATCATTATTATTTGCTTTCATTCTGGAGTTGCAAATTGCAACAGCATAATATTGCATCCCAAGAAATCACCACCAAAGAGAAAATGTGCATGATGGAAATTCATATAATCATATTATCAATACAAGTAAAAGAATAAAACCCACATTTCCCCTAGCTGTCTGTACACAGCCAACACCAAAACTAAATTTATATAAGCAGAAATGTTTTTTTCCATGATAATGACTCACCTATCAGTGTTTCTGTGAGAGCCAAAGCAGATGATGCCTCACTCAGCACCTTCAAAGGATCTGCCTCATTTTTGGTGTTTTGTCTTAGCTTTGGGTTACAATCTTGATACTGGTGAAGGAATACATGCAACATTTCAATTCTAGTGGTGAAGATCATTCAAAGGCTTAAAGTGATGAACTAATAACAGGAAAACATTTAATACCTGGCTTTCTTTCTGTATTCTGAACAGTATTTGATTACAAAAGAAAGATTAGTCAAATATCTAAATGTCTTTCACACTTCCAACTTTTTTTTAAAACTAGCATCTAGACACTTTCAGTACATAAATAAACATAACTAAATGGTATATACAGTGGGTAAGGCTCAAAAAGCTGCCATTCAAAATCTACCATAAGTCATGACTATCCCTCACATACACATTACTTACCTCTCATTACCATTACAAGTTTCAGTCGGAAAAATCTGGAGGGAATGGGGCTATCCCAGTGATCAATATCCATACAAAAAAATGACAAAGAAATTGCACAGTTACTTTGGCTGACCAGGATACTGTTAAATAAAATATCCACTTTGCATGACTTACCAGAAAAAACACCAAGTTAGAAGTTAGTTATAATGAACAGCACTGTGAAATCCATACATTAAAGCAGAATGACAAAGCAGTTGCCACCACCAAATACCCACTTATCATCTATACAATTAACTGTAACATTTTTTTTTTTTACATATAAATGTAGTGCCCAAAAATATTTTGCAAAGCATATATATCACAAACTTTTGGCTACCACAAACAAATCTAATAAGGCCAACATCCACTTCATATAAAAGAAAATCATTATTTTATACAGTTATTAATTATTCATCATCTGTAAACTATGTACCTATTGTTCAATTCCAATTTACAAACAAATAATGTAAGAACTAACAACAGGCTTTCTTCCTGATAAGAACGAGTGTGCTATTAGAAAGTCACAAAACAGTAGACAATAGAATATTCCTTATCTCCTTTCATATTCCACTCTAAAGTAAACAAAATAGGATTACCATGCTAGCTGGACTTAATCTTTTAAAAATCTATGTAGTTCTTTTACTCTGTACTTCTATGCACTTATAAAATTCTTTGGCCAGAGAGAACATTGTTATTACTCAATATAATAGAATTCAAAAGGTTTCCCAAAATAAAAAAAATTGCCCTATAAAAAATAAAAACTTGAAAGTTCTCTACTCCCTACTGGGGAAAAAAATGCTTTATTGAAGAATGCCTCAAGACTTTCATATATCAATAATAATCATAAATAAATGCATAAAAAGACAAAAATATATAAAAATACTAACAGTAAATAACAAGACAACTCTATCAAAATCTTACTAAACAACTTTGATAATGTATCTTGACATGAACTAAATAAGTGGATGTTGGCCTAATATATATACATTTTTAAAAACTGAGTAATAATGAACAACTGTAACATACTGAGAAGTAGAAGAAGTCTAGTCTCAGAAAAGACAACATAAGCATACAGTAGAGTACAGAATAAAACAAAATGCTAACATAAAGTGTAACAAATAAAACAAATAATTGCAAGTGGGGAGCCATGCACACAAACACATAGAGAATGGAATGTAGAAAACGGACCGCCTGACCTCAGAGAGCCTCACCTGACAAGCATCATGCGTGACAGAGGCGGCTGCTACAGGACAGGAGGCCAGGTCATGGGGGGATCCAGCACATGGTGGATGACACCCAAAGCGATGGACTTCAGCAACTACCAGACGCCGTGGATTACTACTGCCTCCAACACCTTTACTAGCACCACTAGCCCCGTCGACGAAACTATCATTAGCTAAGCTCACGTCACTGCTCCAAAGATGTGAGTCTATGTGGGATAAATTGAGCTTTGTGAGTGTACTGCTCAAGTGTGGCTGTATCTACAAGGATTACAGATGTAAAATTTTACCTTAGTTGCTATTCTTAAATTACTTCCCAAGAGAATAGTGTCAACATAAATATCTTTTTATGTGATTTGGATCCCAAACACTACTAAAAAGTGTATCATTAACCCAATGCTGCTGGAGAAATATACAATTCACTGTAGTTTTGTAAAATGTCTGTACACATAGATTGATGTACAAGTGCTTAGTTACCAAGGAGTCACAATTAGCAGACCTTGTGACCTTTCCTTAATTAACACTTCTTGAGCTTTAGTAAAAATTACTAATGGTATTATCATTAATGCTGTTCTTATTATCATCAATATTATGATTATCATAGTGTTATTTACATTACTAATAGTGATATAAAATATGAGAATATTTCCAAAAATCCAGGAAAATGGTAAACAGGTGAGATTGGTACTACTAGTAATTGACTCCTTGGTGACTAAGCTCTTGTGGAGCCTTCTATATATAAAGACAATTAATAAACTATATGCACAATGGGCTTATGCCATTCCTGCCAGTATTGGGTTAAAAAAGTTCCTTAAAGGTATCTACTGTTTCTTCAAAATGGTAATCTAAAATAGCATGTAATATACTGTTTTATATTTTAAGGTTATGGTCAGTCGCATTTCTACTTTGTCGAACATTCATTTAGTAATCATCAAGACAAATTGCCTGTAAAGTACACCTGGTCAAAGAACCAAATCTGAATTAGGAAAAACTACATGAATGAATAATGAATATGGCTTAGAAGGTTGCTTATCCCAAACACAACAGATAACATCCTATCACATCATGGCTAAACCAGCACTCACACAAAAGTGATATTCTAAACCATCCTGCATGCCTGTTCTAAGTTGTATGTGCTAAACAGCTGTGGTGACTGAGAAGAAACAGGTCCACAATAGTAGGCTGAGCCTTTTTTTGGCCTCATCACCTAACAGTTGCTTATATTATAGCCAACAGAATAGAGAGCAGAGTAAATATACGTTTCCTTTACTTCTAATCTCTCCTCAAATGGCTAACAGCACATCACCCTCCACATGACTCAGTGCATGGGTTAAGAGACAGCAGTTTTAGTGCCTATTATGACACTGTCAAGGCTTCCTGTGCTTGCTTTGGCAGACAGTAATTTAAGGGCAGATGTCAGCAAAACTGGTGCAACAGATTATAACAGTCTACTGATCAAATTTTTCACATGATACCAACTGGCACCTGGTATATGCACTCTTCACTGTAGTTTCATTTTGTCAATATTGTTTACACACAGATGGTTTCATAACTGCTTAGTCACCAAAGAGTCCATTACTATGTCTACCTAACCCCACCAATCTACACCATCACTTGATTTTTTTGGGGGGGAAATGTTTTACTTCTACTAATATTATTATCATTATTACTGTAACACTATAAACAATACTAATGGTAATCAAAAAAAAAAATCTGAAAGTTCAAGGAATCAGGTAGACCTAGTAACTGATTTCTTTGTGACTAAGCTCTTGTAGAGACATCTGTATGTAAACAAAATTAACAAAGCAAAAACATACTAGATACTGCATGCAGAGATGCCTTACCAGCATCAACAAGTTAAGTTCTGGCAAATAAATGAGAATTTCCTCTTGGATTTAGTCACAGCTCTACAATCTTACTAGATTACCTGAAGAATAATGCATAAAGCTGGCTTATAATTTTAAAATCTCTTTAAAAAACAATAAAAATCTTAACAACAAAAAATGATACCTTATTTCTGTGACGAATGTGAAAACCATCTATTTTTTTATCACATTCCATGATCAGTTAATTTTTTTTTCCTTATGACAAATCTAGTGCTCTGATAGTAAGCACACACAACTACTATCTTGGCACATATAAATATGCACTCTTAACAATCAATTCTCATCAACCTCAGAGTGCAACAGAAGTGCAGCTTACAGTTCTGACCTCATCGAAACCACTGATCCGTCACTTCAAAAGAGACCCTCAGGTTTCCATTTATTGCAGAATGGGGAGGGGAGGAGAGTATTAGAAGCAGTCTCACAGCTCAGTGCAAAATTAAACAATGCGATCACACCTAGTAGCATGGAGTATGAGCACATGATATAAGGAACGTTTCACTAGGTTTTCTTTCAGCAATTTCTTAAGAAGCCACACATAAACTACAAAAAGGCCAAAAGTGAAATGTGTAAATATAGTGCTTGTGTAGGTAGTATGTAGACACATGCCAAAAAAATTAGGAGTTATTATATTTTCCTCTTTCATCCATTATCATGTTAATATGTTAACAAGTTTGAAAGCCACAAATAGGCCAATTATGCAATCCTTATTCACCTGCAAAATACAGCTTGGCATATAACATTACCACAAAGTGTCTAGCATTTTACCATCAACGTACATGGCAAGATTACTGGCAATGGAAGGTTGCATTATAAGCCTGCAATTACCAAAAGTATGTAATAATTGGTTAATAATTATTATAAAAAGCAATATTATAAAGCAAAAACATATTTATAAACTGTACATATCCTTTTTTAACCATGAAGCTGCAATCCGAGAGGGTTAATTTTTTTCAGGGATTATTATAATCATCTAAAGAACATCTGACATTTTGCTGACTGACTGACTGACTGACTGACTGACTGACTGACTGACTGACTGACTGACTGACTGACTGACTGACTGACTGACTGACTGACTGACTGACTGACTGACTGACTGACTGACTGACTGACTGACTGATAAATAATAATGATAGTGGTAGCAATAATAATAGAATCAGTAAATACCCTTTCCTTGATTTTTCTCTCATTACTACTAGTATTACTATTATAATGATCATAATGTCAATAATAATGATAGTGGTAGCAATAATAATAGAATCAGTAAATACCCTTTCCTTGATTTTTCTTTCATTACTACTAGTATTACTATTATAATGATCATAATGTCAATAATAATGATAGTGGTAGCAATAATAATAGAATCAGTAAATACCCTTTCCTTGATTTTTCTCTCATTACTACTAGTATTACTATTATAATGACCATAATGTCAATAATAATGATAGTGGTAGCAATAATAATAGAATCAGTAAATACCCTTTCCTTGATTTTTCTTTCATTACTACTAGTATTACTATTATAATGATCATAATGTCAATAATAATGATAGTGGTAGCAATAATAATAGAATCAGTAAATACCCTTTCCTTGATTTTTCTCTCATTACTACTAGTATTACTATTATAATGACCATAATGTCAATAATAATGATAGTGGTACCAATAATAATAGAATCAGTAAATACCCTTTCCTTGATTTTTCTCTCATTACTACTAGTATTACTATTATAATGACCATAATGTCAATAATAATGATAGTGGTACCAATAATAATAGAATCAGTAAATACCCTTTCCTTGATTTTTCTTTCATTACTACTAGTATTACTATTATAATGACCATAATGTCATTAATAATGATAGTGGTAGCAATAATAATAGAATCAGTAAATACCCTTTTCCTTGATTTTTCTTTCATTACTACTAGTATTACTATTATAATGATCATAATGTCAATAATAATGATAGTGGTAGCAATAATAATAGAATCAGTAAATACCCTTTCCTTGATTTTTCTTTCATTACTACTAGTATTACTATTATAATGATCATAATGTCAATAATAATGATAGTGGTAGCAATAATAATAGAATCAGTAAATACCCTTTCCTTGATTTTTCTCTCATTACTACTAGTATTACTATTATAATGATCATAATGTCAATAATAATGATAGTGGTAGCAATAATAATAGAATCAGTAAATACCCTTTCCTTGATTTTTCTCTCATTACTACTAGTATTACTATTATAATGATCATAATGTCAATAATAATGATAGTGGTAGCAATAATAATAGAATCAGTAAATACCCTTTCCTTGATTTTTCTTTCATTACTACTAGTATTACTATTATAATGATCATAATGTCAATAATAATGATAGTGGTAGCAATAATAATAGAATCAGTAAATACCCTTTCCTTGATTTTTCTCTCATTACTACTAGTATTACTATTATAATGATCATAATGTCAATAATAATGATAGTGGTAGCAATAATAATAGAATCAGTAAATACCCTTTCCTTGATTTTTCTTTCATTACTACTAGTATTACTATTATAATGATCATAATGTCAATAATAATGATAGTGGTAGCAATAATAATAGAATCAGTAAATACCCTATCCTTGATTTTTCTTTCATTACTACTAGTATTACTATTATAATGACCATAATGTCATTAATAATGATAGTGGTAGCAATAATAATAGAATCAGTAAATACCCTTTCCTTGATTTTTCTCTCATTACTACTAGTATTACTATTATAATGATCATAATGTCAATAATAATGATAGTGGTAGCAATAATAATAGAATCAGTAAATACCCTATCCTTGATTTTTCTTTCATTACTACTAGTATTACTATTATAATGACCATAATGTCATTAATAATGATAGTGGTAGCAATAATAATAGAATCAGTAAATACCCTTTCCTTGATTTTTCTCTCATTACTACTAGTATTACTATTATAATGACCATAATTTCATTAATAATGATAGTGGTAGCAATGATAATAGAATCAGTAAATACCCTTTCCTTGATTTTTCTCTCATTACTACTAGTATTACTATTATAATGATCATAATGTCAATAATAATGATAGTGGTAGCAATAATAATAGAATCAGTAAATACCCTTTCCTTGATTTTTCTTTCATTACTACTAGTATTACTATTATAATGACCATAATGTCATTAATAATGATAGTGGTAGCAATAATAATAGAATCAGTAAATACCCTTTCCTTGATTTTTCTCTCATTACTACTAGTATTACTATTATAATGACCATAATGTCATTAATAATGATAGTGGTAGCAATAATAATAGAATCAGTAAATACCCTTTCCTTGATTTTTCTTTCATTACTACTAGTATTACTATTATAATGACCATAATGTCATTAATAATGATAGTGGTAGCAATAATAATAGAATCAGTAAATACCCTTTCCTTGATTTTTCTTTCATTACTACTAGTATTACTATTATAATGATCATAATGTCAATAATAATGATAGTGGTAGCAATAATAATAGAATCAGTAAATACCCTTTCCTTGATTTTTCTCTCATTACTACTAGTATTACTATTATAATGATCATAATGTCAATAATAATGATAGTGGTAGCAATAATAATAGAATCAGTAAATACCCTTTCCTTGATTTTTCTCTCATTACTACTAGTATTACTATTATAATGATCATAATGTCAATAATAATGATAGTGGTAGCAATAATAATAGAATCAGTAAATACCCTATCCTTGATTTTTCTTTCATTACTACTAGTATTACTATTATAATGACCATAATGTCATTAATAATGATAGTGGTAGCAATAATAATAGAATCAGTAAATACCCTTTACCTTGATTTTTCTTTCATTACTACTAGTATTACTATTATAATGATCATAATGTCAATAATAATGATAGTGGTAGCAATAATAATAGAATCAGTAAATACCCTTTCCTTGATTTTTCTCTCATTACTACTAGTATTACTATTATAATGATCATAATGTCAATAATAATGATAGTGGTAGCAATAATAATAGAATCAGTAAATACCCTATCCTTGATTTTTCTCTCATTACTACTAGTATTACTATTATAATGACCATAATGTCATTAATAATGATAGTGGTAGCAATAATAATAGAATCAGTAAATACAAACCCTCTTCCCAAAAAATCAAGAAAAGGCATAATCAGGTGACTAAAATAAAATCGCAGTGGACACCTGGCAAGCATGACACTCCTGACCACAACATACTGACTGACAGCTCCAGCTAAGTATTTTTTGATTGCAGAAAAAAAACCTGACTGCCTGCCTGAATTAATGTATGAATGGGTCAATATCTCTGCCTAACTGCCTGAATAACTGAATAAATGAATGGTGAAAGGAAGGAAATAAGGTATGAAGGAAGAGAGGAAAGAATGAATGACTAAATAAATGAAAGAAGGAAGGAAGGAAGGAAGGAAGGAAGGAAGGAAGGAAGGAAGGAAGGAAGGAAGGAAGGAAGGAAGGAAGGAAGGAAGGAAGGAAGGAAGGAAGGAAGGAAGGAAGGAAAAAAGGAAGGAAGGGAGGAAGGCAGGAAGGAAAGAAGGAAGGAAGGAAGGAAGTAAAAGGAAAGAAAGAAAGAAGGAAAGAAAGAAGGAAAGAAAGAAAGAAGGAAGGAAAGAAAGAAAGAAAGGAAGAGCGAGAAAGAGAGGAAAAGAGAGAAAGAAACGGAAAGAAAGAAAGTGAGAGCAAGAAAGAAAGAAGAAAGAAGGAAAGAAAGAAGGAAGGAAGGAAGGAAGGAACGAAGGAACGAAGGAAGGAAGGAAGGAAAGGAAGGAAGGAAGGAAGGAACGAAGGAAGGAAGGAAAGGAGAGAAAACAGAAGAAAGGGAGGAAAGATATTTCCTAATTATATATCTCAATGAAATGAATTCTGAATATTGGGTCTATTCACTGCAATATATAATACTATAATGAGAGAGTGTGTGAGAAAGTGAGGGAGTGAGAGAGAGAGAAAGTGAGAGAGTAAGAGAGAGTAAGAATGAGAGGGTTAGAGAGTGAAAGACTAAGTCAGTGAGAGAGAGAGAAAGTAAGAGAGTAATAGAGCTAGAGAATAAGAGTGAGAGAGTGAGAGAATAAAGGAGTAAGAGGGTGAAAGAAAGAGAGAGTGAGAGAAAAAGAGTCAGAGAGTCAGAGTCAGAAAGTCAGAAAGTCAGAGAGTCAGAGAGTCAGAAAGTCAGAAAGTCAGAGAGTCAGAGTCACAAAGTCACAAAGTCAGAGAGTCAGAGAGTCAGAGAGTCAGAGAGTCAGAGAGTCACAAAGTCACAAAGTCAGAGAGTCAGAAAGTCAGAGAGTCAGAGAGTCAGAAAGTCAGAAAGTCAGAGAGTCAGAGAGTCAGAGTCACAAAGTCACAAAGTCACAAAGTCAGAGAGTCAGAAAGTCAGAAAGTCAGAGAGTCGGAGAATTGGAGAGTCAGTGATACTTGTGACACCTTAAACAGAGAGCCAGATCAGCATCTCGCTACCGCCAGCTATTATTCGCACTGAGCTTTCATGCAAGGCAGCCAACAGTGATTGGATGACAAGCAGTCCAGCTCTCCATCTAAGGTGTCACAAGTATCTCTGAATATGAGCATGTGAGTGGATGAGAAAGTGAAAGAGTGAGAAGGAGGGAGAGTAAGAGAAGGGAGAAATAATATATATATGTATATATCTGTGTGTGTGTGTGTGTGTGTGTGTGTGTGTGTGTGTGTGTGTGTGTGTGTGTGTGTGTGTGTGTGTGTGTGTGTGTGTGTGTGTGTGTGTGTGTGTGTGTGTGTGTGTGTGTGTGTGTGTGTGTGTGTGTGTGTGTGTGTATCCATACATAAATATATATACATATATATATATATATATACCTATATATTCTTCACACCAAGATCTTACCGATCAAACCATCAAGTAGATTCTGAGTCGATGGCAGGGTGCTCGAAAGGGGAAAGAGGCCTTTCTGCTTGTCTTCGTTTTGAGATGAGCTCAAGCTGATTTCAGTCGATTCGGAGTCGGGGGTACTTAGGCTAGCAACTGGGGACTCTTGTCTCTTCTCAGGCAGGATCAGATTGTAGGATTCTTGTGGAGAACTTGAAAAATTAAGGATTTCTTCTCCCTATAATTAGCAGATAAAAAAGGAAACACATGAGAAAAAAATATATACATAATATAGTTTTTTGACTTAAAAAATAACATACAAGGATATAAGGTCTACCACTTCAGTAGCATGATATAACATGATGGGTAAACAGAGAAAAAATCATTAATTTATAATTATAATCAGTAAACTTAATTACTTAGACAAAGCACTTAATAATTAAATGTCAGTCTACAAGTAAAGAAAAATTATGATAAAGATCTATACCTATCCTCTCTAACAAGGACTCACTCATACTTGGTATTACCCACTACTGACAGTGGTACTGGCCAAGCTGGTTTACCTCCATTCTCACTGGGTGTTAAGATAAATGGGTTTGAATCCTTCTTATGGAGGATTGTCAGCTTATACAAATAAACAAATAAAAGTCTTAAAATCCTACCTTAAAATCTGTCAAGGGGTCTATTACAAGATCAAAGACCTGCGAATCAGCTTTGCTAGAGAGGTTGCCAAGGCCATCAGAGTAGCATGTTTCTGTATCCTTATCTGCCCTTAGGCCTCCAGTTTCCATCGTTATTCTGGGAATTTCAGCCTTGCCATGTCTGTGAAAGATATTTAATAAAAAATCATTTGTGATACAACAATACACATAATTTACACAAGATTAGTACATAATTACACTTTCAAGTACTAAAGTGTAATCTTCACTGCAAGTTTGTACTTGTTTTTTCACTAAAGCAGCCAAGAGAAAACCAAGCATTCCATTTCAGTGAGATCAAAACAAACATCATGAGAAAATTCAAATTCTCAATCCAGTGTCTAAGATTATAGCCTCCACCTACTTAGATGGTAATCATTTAATACATGTACTCAGACTTCTTCCCTCAGTATTTTCCTGACAATCTCAACCATTTTAGTATATTGTTATATAAATTCAAGTAGTTCTTTACAGTAAAGACACTCACCAGAGACTAAGTTCCCAATCCCACATCACAAATCTAATTCAACAATCTAAATTGCTGTGGTTGGGCATGCCAAACTCCCAGAAGGGAGAGTTGATGGGGGCTCTGCCCCCCAATGTCCCTTAGGTAACATTATCTTTACCTCAGTATGCACAGCAAGATAAGAGCTGAAATGCAGGAACACCAGGTAGACTTAGGCTATCAGTAGTGCTTTCCATGATCTTTTTCCTTTATTTGTGGCATTACTGTTTACGTCTGGAGATTATTGCTTGCACTGATGACTTTTTGTCCTTTACAAGAATATCATCCTCAATTCGCCCTACCTTAGTGCATCCATACTGTACAGATTAACCACAAACCTTAATTCTCTTAGAATGCGTTATCTAAATTCACAATCAATCTTAATTTATGATAAAAAAATATAACATAAATCTAACACTTCTTACCTCAGCTGTTCAAGGAAATAAAAAATCTATTTGAAGAGCTTCCTACACCTTTGACAAAGTTATCCTTCTGTAGGTATTACAAGAGAAGCCAGTGTCTGCTACCCTCTCAAACTGCAAGTCATCTTCCCTTTATAAACCCTCACATGACAGGATTAAGTCTCCCTGAAGTTGATTGTTCAGTTACCTGTTAGTTCTATAATTGTGTTTACTATACATCTATTTCTACTCTATAATGGATCTATTCTTCTCTTACATGAAGAAATAAATGAACGTAGAAAAATCAACAGCTATATATTCAACCTGAATACACATGTCCAATTGATAAGGCTCGATTTTGATATAGAAGTTATGTATAATTCTCTGTACTCATGACCATGAGTTCTTTGTAGTTATGATCCACATGACTATGATTACTTCAATATTTCTTTGTAAATTCCTTGATTCTCTAGCAGCTCTTGAATAGCATTTATCAAAAGTTACATTAGGCCTGAGGATGGAATCCAGGTGGATTTCGAAACTTTAGTCTAACTTTGAATAAGTTTAGTTTCACATTGTGGGTTTTTCTAGAGTGTTTTACCATTCATTAAGAGGGAGTTGTATATACATAACATTACTCATACATCATCTTAAAATGAAAAAATAAATATGAACCAAAAAATATTTTGACACACCTACACCTACACTAATATCATTACTTTCTTTAAACCGTGCACAGACTCTACAGATTTTACAGAGATAACCTAAGGTAATCACCATAAAACCATAGGCATTAACTCACTGCTGCAAGATGACAACTAATCACATCACAGAGAAACAAGTCCTAATGGTGAGTGGTAAGTACCCATGTCATGTGAATTGAGCCTGCCCTAAGATGTCCACCTATTTGGTCCTCACTGCAATTACTAGGGAGATACAGCCTCTCTAGAGTAGCCCTAAAGCTTCAATTTAGTCTCACTTCCTAAAAAAACATTTGCAATGCAACCAAAAGCACTGACAGTGAGGTGAGTGTATGTTTTCTATACTTCTAACTGCTTACTCTTATGACTGACAATGAGTAAAGTGGCTCAATATGGTGCACGGAAATCTTGAGTGGTCACACCAACGGGTCACACCGTGAGGTATGAAAACAAACCGCTCGATCTGTGGCATGCGGCTGTATGCCATGGCAGCGCACCAAAGCACTAAAAGCTGGTGATTCAGCTTGATGTACTGAACTACATTACATGATGAGAAGCATATTTGAAATTAAGTTATGAGCAGAGAATAAACAAAACCAAAAAAATGAGCTTATCTTTGGTGCTGAATCTATGTGCTGGTGCTGAATCAGAAAACTGTAATTTAACCTTTAACCTTTAGCCCTACATGTAGTGGAACTTTCTGCTCAGCGCACTCTACCCAGCATATTGAGTCAGTTTGTTATGACGGCTATAGGTATGGCCCAGCAGATACAGGTTAATAGTGGCAAGAAAATAAAACACAAAAATAGAAACAAAACTGTTAAAATCTATACTATATATCAATCATCCAAAATACCATTGATTTATTTCAAATTTAGCATTACTTTAGGAGGTCTAGGCCAAAGGAATCTGCATGCCTTCTATAATGATTTACTCTTTCAAACATACTGTTATTTGATATATCATTTAAAATAAGTCTGCAAATGCAGAAGTAACATACATAAAAATAATGGAATACACTAAATAATTCTTGACTTATTACATCTGAAACTGTTCTATACTCATAGTAATAACTCCTTATACCTACACTTACAAGTAAACAACTTAGAAAAGTCTTTATAATTGCAATATGTTTATAATAGCACATACTTTCTTGAGTATTGACATGAATACCTATCAGTTTAGAGGCAAAGTTTTACTGTTAGAATGACACATTTTCCATTGATAATGGTTGATGGAAATTCTCTTAAAACAAAATAAAAAACTTTATCTTGGGTCCCTTGTACTGATAGGTCACCTGACTGATGACGGAGAAGTGAAATAAAGCTTATGACGTGTATAAGAACTTAAAATTCACTCATTCAACACAACTGTCTTGTAATGTCAACAGTTGTCCCTGACAGTCTATCTAAAACTCGTCTTATACACAATATTTGATTATTATTTGCTGCAAAACAAACGTAACCAACACAATCACACCCTCTGCAACACAGTAACAAAAGGTCTGGAAACCCCAAGGTTCTACGTGCCATATCGATCCATCCTGCACATTCCTCATAACCCACAGAACAGATTATAACAGCATAACAACCTCTATCACTAGTGCATGAATGACGTTCCTCCCCGAGCTCTCTTCGCAGGTACTCCCAGCTGTGAAGATGACAATTGTCTGCTGCTACCTACGTGGATTGTTTACTATCGACTTTCATTTGTTTCTCGGGTTCACTGGCTCGGTTTCCCTTGAGTTCGGTGGGCGAGGTCTTTCCACTGTATATTTTTTTATTGTTGTTGCTAGGCTATTGTCAAACTATTGATTTGAGAGTTCCAGGTACGAGGATAACGTCCTGGATGTATATTCTTACATTTTTTTAAGATAAAAAGTTTCTGTATCGATTTCATGATATGTGACATAGGTTTATCATAATAAAAAGAGAAAAATGCGTAGCTTGAGACAAGTTGAGGTTCCCAGTCCTCTTTTACATGATATTCATTGTTGATCTCTTTCTGAAGATGATCCTTCAGTGCTATTTCAATATAGTCTAGTCTTTAAATAATCAACACAATATGTTAAAAATCTATATCATGATAATATGTAAATCATCTATAATTACCAGTCATTACGATAATAAATATAGGGGTCCATTTAATTGGTTGATTTGTTATGGCACATGTCTCCCCTTTACAATATAAAAGGTTTGGTTCACTGTATAGAAAAATTCAGCATTATAAAGAAACAGGCGGGTGACATTGCGTTACTGTAATGAGACATATTAGTGGTTAAACAGCTAACGGTATCCGCGGCGAAAAAAAAAATCTTTGCATAAACAGTTAATTACTTACGATATTCCTATGAAGTTACGGCAATACCAATAAACCTACCAATGTATGAAATAATCGAATACTAACAGAGTAATATCAAGTAACAAAAACAAATCAAGAATTTACCCACCTCGCTTAGGGATAAGTGTGTGGATGTCATGGAGACCTTACAATAAAGTTCAGGGTAAAGTGAAACTGCAAGGCAAGTCTTCAAGTGTGGGCGAGGCTCAGAGAACTCGATTGCGTGGCAACTTGTTAGTGATTGTACGCAATAGCATGCATGTGTGTGCGTGCGTGTGTGCGTGCATTGGTTGGTGCGCGAGCTCGTGTGCCATAGTGTTTTCAATAAAAGAGAAAGAGTGTGATTTATTAGCCATTATGTATTTCCATTGCAGTGATTTATATGCTAACGGTAATGAGAGAGTCACATTTCGGTATTGTGACTGTGATATAGCAGTAGGAGCTGGGGACTAAGCTATTAAATGTTATCTAGGACACCACATACTTTCTGAAGTGAACAGTTTGTTCCACTTGGTATGCAGCCGTGTGTGTGTGTGTGTGTGTGTGTGTGTGTGTGTGTGTGTGTGTGTGTGTGTGTGTGTGTGTGTGTGTGTGTGTGTGTGTGTGTGTGTGTGTGTGTGTGTGTGTGTACATAAACATGCACACACACACACACACACACACACACACACACACACACACACACACACACACACACACACACACATATATATATATATATATATATATATATATATATATATATATATATATATATATATATATATATATATATATATATATATATAAATTTTTTACACACATACACACACACACACACACGCACACACACACGTGTATATATATATACATACACACACATATGTGTGTGTATGTGTATATATATACACACGTGTGTGTGTGTGTGTGTGTGCGTGTGCGTGTGCGTGTGCGTGTGCGTGTGCGTGTGCGTGTGCGTGTGCGTGTGCGTGTGCGTGTGCGTGTGCGTGTGCGTGTGTGGTGTGTGTGTCTATATGTATGTATGTATGCACATACATCTATCCGTTTGCATATAGACAAATAAGATTTCTGTGAGAATGTAACATTAAAAGTTTTTTTCTGACTAGTGTGTATCGTTTGCAATCGCAAGGGTTCAGGTATGGCGCAAGTTCCCACCAGAAACCCGATGCCTCTCTTGCTTCTGTCAGAGGTGAAAAAATGACGGACTCAGGGGGCAGCCACTTATTCCTCTGTCAATTGAGAGTATATAGTATCTGACAAAGCTGCATGCAGACTGATTATGTTAAAGCATACTGTATGACTCCTCTTTTTTTAAATACATATATATTTTTATCATCCATCGACAGCTTTCTCACAGAGACCACGGTATGACAACGCGTATCCACCGCTGATGGGCTTAACTGCTTCTTCATTGCATAACATTTTTATGTTTTAATTTTAAGTCTAAGCAGTTGTAAAGACCGTGCAAATCTGGCTAATTGTAAGAGTACTTAACTACTCCTGCTTTCGCTTACAGTTTTCTCAGTGTATTTCTAGACATATTTCTTGGTGTAATAGAGTTGTCATTCTTCAAGGCATTATCACTATCAGTAATCTTAAGATCGTCTTCAGAAATACTCGTATGATTACCATAACTATCATAATTGAGATGTTTAATGTCTTTAGAATTGCCAATATCTATTAAATCAACATTTTCTAACTTATCACTTATTTCCGTTGGAAATTCAAATTTTCACTGTCACTTTTATCATTATTTTTGTTATGTGGTTTTGTCTGTTTACATTTGTTTTATTATTGTCAGCACTGCTGCAGATTAATGTTAAAAAAAAAAAAAAATTTCTGTATTAGACCATAGAGAATCAGGTTATACTATGTTAAACAAAGGTATTAATAAAATAGAGGTGGATTGACTGATTTCTTTATTTGGACAGAAGTTTGACCTGCTGCACCAGCCATAAAGTTACATATTAGGAAAATATAAAATAAGAATAGTACACCATACCTTTTAATGGTAAATGAAAATCAATGACATTAAGTTCCTGTCACATTAAGCATATTTACACACTTCTTTAACATTTCTACTAACATTCAACTTCAAACTTCACTATGTAACTGAGTGGCAACCAATTTATACACTAACAATCATTCTCCTTTTTTTTTATTTTCACCAACATGGCCTAATTCTACTAATTATTATGACTCCTTAAAAAATCACACATTAGCTCAAGTATTCACATGTTAAGAGGGGTACTAAGTAAAACACAGAAGTCTATTAAGTTTTTTTTTTTATTTTCTTCACACTGTCTTTCCTTACAAAATACCATATTGCATTTTAAGAAAATAATATACATCTAAACTTCATTGCAATATATCCTAAACAATTTATTATAAGAAATATATCAATGTGTATAATAACATAGGCATTCACAACACAGTCTCAAGAAATTATCTGAGTAAGTTTCACATCAAAACACTTCTCTCATCATCACAATTACAAATGTATTCATCAAACATGGGAACACTTCTTCCCAGCCCCATTGTCTAGTACTGTACACCAGAAAAAAAGATAAAAAATATTATGATACATTCTCTTTGGCTTTTCATAAGAGATTAAAATAAGAATTTACCATCTCATTTTCATTTTTCTTTCTTCTTCTTTTCCTTCTTCTTCTTCTTTTTCTTTTCCTTCTTCTTCTTCTTGTGCTTACTCCGTGATTCAGTGTCACTGGAATCACTATTAGCAGCTGCCCTCTTCTTCTTCTTCTTCTTTTTCTTTTTCTTCTTTTTCTGAACCTCCTCATCATCACTGCTGCTGCTACTGCTTGAAGAACTACTATTACTTGAACTTGTACTAGAGTCACGCTTTCGCTTTTTCCTTTTCTTAGATTTGTCTCTTAGTCTAACATCTTCTGCAACAGTTTTCTGTGTAACTGGGGTAGGAACACGGATAGGTGAGTAACGGTGTTTTCTTTCTACTTCTTGCTGAAGACTTTCATTTTCATGCCGTGAGTGAGCAGGACTCTGTTCTGGGGAATGAGATGGAGAACGAGAATAGGGTTCTGAAAGCTTATGTGAGGGATAAGTAAGCCCTGGGTTTATAACCCGACCAAGAGAAGGAGACAATGAACCAGTGGGAGCATGAGCAGATGAAGGTATAGCCATCTCAGCAGGAATTAACCCTTCTGAGGTTTCTGTTTCAATTTCACCCTCTTCAAGTTCCTCTTTCTCTACTGGTAGACTGACAGCAGGTTCCTCTGAAACATCCTGACTTTTCTCCCTGTAAGTCTGCTCTTCTGTATCATTTTCACCTTGAACACCTGCGGTCTCATGATGTGACTGAGTATCTGTTGCTGTTGAGCTATTTGTTTGTACTGTATTTTCCCCATCAGGCTCCTCCACTGAGCCATTACCTTCAAATTTTATTCTTTTAAGCTCTGAATCTTCTCCTGATGATAAAGTTCTCTTTACACCTTTTACATTATTTTCAGGATTTTCCTTAAGAGCCTCATCAACTTCCTTTGGATTTTGATTTACCTCATTATTTTCACAATAACTATTGCTGGTCAAATTATGGTCAGATACAGGAGATGAATCTTTCAGTCTCTTGGTTCCTTCATCAATTTGACTTGAAAGGCTACTTTTCTCTTCACCAATGCTATGTCGGTCTTCCCTTTCACTCCTCTTACGGCTTCTGGAAGATCCATGTTGTTCATGAGGACTAGGGGACCTTCTTCCAGATCTTGAGGAGTGTCTATCCTGTTTGATATCTACTTCTGCACCTCTCTTTGACTTTAAGTTGTACTTTCTGTCTTCTGGACGCTCAGGACTTGAGGGTAGAGATCTACCACTCCTGGGTCGGCCAATTTGGGATTCTGTTTTTGAAGATATTGTGATCTGGATGGATGGACCTCTCCTTTTGGCCTCTCTTAATTCCAGGCGATCCCACTCCGGAGTTGGACTTCTCTCTTCAACTCGCTCCTTTTGGCCTCTCTTAATTCCAGGCGATCCCACTCCGGAGTTGGACTTCTCTCTTCAACTTCTTTCTGCTTTTGTGTATCAAGATACACTTTACGAGCTGTTAGCCCTCTACCTGAGAAAATGGCATTTTCTGCACGTTTTAGGATGTCAACAGTGACTTTCCTCTCCTCCTCTGGTGCTTTGTTCTCAACTAATCCTTTTGGTGTCAGGGAGAGATCTTCATCTCTTTCCCACTTTGATAACTGTGGAAGAGGAAGAGGTGTGGCAACTTCTTCTCCTGGAGTACCTTCAGCCTCAGGAGTCATCTCCTGAGAGGGTATTTCATTTGAATCCTTCTCAGTGACAGAGATTTCATCTACATCATTTGGTTGTTCAATTGGTAGTTCAGTTTCTACATAGGATGACTTTTCTACATTGTGTTCTGTTGGATTTTCCTCCCTCTCCTCCTTTTCATCTTCTGGTGCTATTTCCTTGGACTTCCTGTTCTTTTTATCCCTCTTCCTCTTTTTCTTTTTCTCTTCTCCTTCTTCACCTGATATTTCTCCCTGAGATGCTTCTGTTGATGCCTGAGAAGCTCTACGTTTTTCTTTTTTCTTCTTTTTCTTGTCATGTCTTTTCTTTTCAGCTTTAGTCATGCCTTCTGCATCTCTCTCATCCTTTTCCTTACTATCCAGTTCCTCATCCCTATTTTTGTTTTTCTTCCTTTCCTCTCTCTCATCAGAAGCATGTGCTCTTATTTCATCTTTCTCCAGTGACTTACTTTTCTCCCGATCTAATCTGCCTCTTTCAAAATCTTTTTCCTTTTCAGGCTTGGCATCACTTCTGTCCCACCTTGATGTTCTGCCTGCCCTTTCCATCTCTCGATCTCTCCTTCCATCTCTGTCTCTTCTACTGTCATCTCTGCCAGATCGATCATCCTTCCTGTCAGTATCTCTGTCCCTCTTCTGTGAATCTCTTTCCCTTTTATCACTATCTTTGTCCTTCCTTTCACTATCCCTGTCTCTCCTGTCTTTGTCTCTTGATCTTCTCTCTACATCTCTATCTCTTCGGTCTTCCCTGTCCCTTTTATAAGTATCTTTTCTATCCATATCTCTATCCTTTTTATCACTATCTCTATCCTTCCTATCAAAATCCCTGTCTTTTCTATCAACATCTTTGTCTTTTCTGTCGGAATCTCTGTCTCGTCTATCACCATCTCTGTCCCTTCTATCTGGATCTCGATCACGGTCACGATCTCTCCTGTCTCTGCCTGGTGACTTTCTGTGACTCTTACTTTGTAGTGGGTCACGTGACCTACTCCTGTAAGCCCTTGCATCATCTTGGTTTGGGGTGATTCTCTGCCCAGGAGCTTCTCTATGCCTTGAACTAGGCTTCAATTTAGCATCACGATCCTCAAGCCTTTTTGAGTCATGACGACCACTGTGCTTGCCTTCCTCTCCATCCTTCCTAATACTGTCTGGATCTCTACGCACATCTCCATCTTTTCTTGGGAACCTTTTGTGATCTTCATATCTGTCAATTTCTGGTGGTCTCCTGGCATCATCATGGTCATCCACATGACCTCTCCTACCATCCGGGTATCTCCGTCTCTCCTCCTCCTCCTCAAATCTCTTCCTATTTTCCTCAGGATATCTTCTCCACTCATCCTCATCATACTGTTTCCGGCCCATATCATCTTCATGCCTTCTGTCTATGACATCCCTTTCCCTCCTTGACCTCACATCATCAAACTCTCTAGCTGGATCTCGTACATCTCCATACCTTCTCCCACCTCTATCATTTCTCCCCATCTCCATATCATATCCCCTTCGCACATCGTCTCTCTCCCACCCTGAAGCAGCTAATAAGCCTCGCCGGTCATCATGGGGTTGCTGATGACGATCATAGGGATGCCTTGTGTCCTGAGTGCGCTGGTCAAAGCTATAGTCATCTCCTTGCCTGAATCCTCCACGACCACGACGCCCTCTGTTCCCTTGACCCCTCATGTTGTGGTATTCTGGATTGAAAGCATCATGACCCGGATGATCATATCTGAAAAAGCAAAATTAGGGTTGTTTACCTAGGACTTTCAGTAAATGAATTACAAAACTACTGGGAAACTAAGCCTACTGTGTTTTAAAATGTAATTAGAAAACTAATGGAAAATTATTTCTACTGTTATTATAAAAATAAATATCAAAACTTTTACCTATTCTGAGGATCCCAATGAGCTGTATTTCCATGGTATGGGTGGTATTCCTCCCCTGGCATCACATGTCCACTACCAGCATAATGATCATATTCATTCCTGCTCCCATAATCTAATGCTGCCCTGAAATGTCCATTGAAATTTTTTTGTTTAAAATTTACTTCTTTAATAAAGTTTCCATTGAGAAAAAAAAAATCCAAAATAATTAATTGATCTAAAATAATTAATTGCTTCTTCATATATGTATGTTTTTCCCAAAATGCATTCATTTTTTCATCTAATCTTTTATTGTATTTTAAACTAGTTTTCAACTTCCATCTTTAACATCACCTTAATTCAAAATGCACAATTTTAAAAAGACCCACCTGGCTGGTGACCTTGTGTCAGGCAACAGAGGTCGCACTTGGAGGGGAGAAGACTTCATTCTGCGACTTGGGCTTGGAGTCCTGGCATAGGAAGAGAAATGTAGGAATCCAGTACTTTCTGATAATAGCTTATAAAAGAAGAAACATATTTGCAAAAATAATTATCAATCTATCTATACATATACACCTCTAGCTTACCTGCTTAGAGTCAATGACTGATTTGATACTGATCTCTCTTTGGTAAATGATGGTGACCGTGGAGACCGATATGACATGGGTCTGCGAGGTGGCGTTCTGCTCCATCTGCGTCTGCCAGGCGACCTTGGAGACCTCCCAGATCCAACACCAAGACGACTTCTTGACCTAGAACGCGAACGTGACCTGGACCAAGAACGCTGACGTGGTGACCTTGGCCTATAACGGGGTGGAGTTCTGAAAAGAAAGGTTGACTAAAATATCACATCTGTGGAATACCAGAAGTTACTGCAGAAGAAAAGCTAATACAAATCACACACAATGGAGTCCAGCAACACCATGGGAGTACCTACCTTGAACGAGATCTTGATCTGCTCATGCGATATTTCCGTGCATCTTTCTCCCTAAGATGTCTTTCAAAGGCTGCAAGAGGGTCGTCAATAACTCTGCAAGCAGGGAATGAATGATTAGACTACATTGGAACTTTATTCTCTCACATTATCAGTCCCTATTTTTTCTGAATTCCAAAATATGTTTATCAAACAATGGTATTGAAATATAACTGAGCAGGCAAAACTCCATACAGAAACTATGAGAAATTCATCACGGAATAATTACTTACTCCATTTCCCTGAAAGGAGGAACGTGACTTGGATAGCCTGGAGGGTTTGTCACAATGGCTGGAGGAGGTACTCTGCCAAGGAAATAAGTTACTGGTTCATTAAAGTTCCTCAATGCCATTTTATGAAATGCAATGAACTGCTAGTGATCTTTAAGCAATTAGAAAAGAAATTCTAAGTACTAAAAACAAACACAAACATGTTTAGATCTACCTCTGCTTACTCCAGCAGTCTACTGATAAACACACATTGATTCTTCACACACTTGCTCTCTCTCTGTCTCGCATATCAATTTCCCTCACTCACTTATTCATCTATTCATTCTCAGAAACAGAACACAGTTATTTCAACTTCATAGGTGTAGGTGCATGCTTGTCTATACTTGGTTACAATGAATAGAAGCTTGGTATATCAATCATTATTTTTGGTTATTTTGCATTTAAAGAGATTGCTTTAAATATTGATTAGTACATCAATTATATAAAACAGTAATTTCCTATTATCACTTAAGAAAATGTAAGAGAAAGCCTTTAATAGAGTCAATTTCTGTTTTTTCTTCCTTTTAATGTCATTATCAGGGTCATTACCAAAACACTCATAAAATAATTAAGTCCTAAATAAGTATTAATACTATTATTCTAAATTTATCATGATCACCTATTCATAAAATGTACTTCAATATTCAATTTACAAATTACAGAGGCTTCAGAAATATGCAGTAAAAAAAAAGAAAAGAAAAACTAAATACTTGGCTAAAATACACATTTCTACAGTGCTAAAATACACATAAAATCACGCTTTTAAAATAAATCTTAAAAGGGGGAAAAAAAAGAAAAAAAAAAAAGACCAAGGTGCAGAGACGAAGAAGTTATGTATCATCTAATTCAAAATGCCTATTTAGAGAGACTAACACAAAAAATAAAAGCTATTGGTGATTTAAGCAAGTGTACATGCTGGGAGGTTTGCCATATTCTTGACGGGGGAAATATATTAGAAATCTAATCAAGAAAAAAAAGATATATACTTATCAAAATAATAACCACTATTTAAGGACAAGAGAACAACTAGAAATGAAAAAAAAAAAAAAGAAACAGTAAATAGAACACAAAAAGTTACACGAAACACTTCAAACAAAAGACAAGAGTTGTGCACATCAACCCGGAAGCACAACTCACGAGAGGTCTGGCGAGCCTACGAGACGGGACGGAGGCATTGGCGGATCCCGAATAATTGCCGAGTGACTTGAGGACACCACAGAGGAAGAAGGAAGCGCAGTACCCATTCCCGTTGGGTATAGCCCACTATGTGTAAAAATTGGTGTCGAGTCAATGCACCTTGTTCTGCCCTTGGTTTACATGGCCTATTTTTATACAAGCGCTATTCATATACAAATATATGTGTGTGTATATGTATATGTATATGTATATGTATATGTATATGTATATGTATATGTATATGTATATGTATATGTATATGTATATGTATATGTATATGTATATGTATATGTATATGTATATGTATATGTATATGTATATGTATATGTATATGTATATGTATATGTATATGTATATGTATATGTATATGTATATGTATATGTATATGTATATGTATATGTATATGTATATGTATATGTATATGTATATGTATATGTATATGTATATGTATATGTATATGTATATGTATATGTATATGTATATGTATATGTATATGTATATGTATATGTATATGTATATGTATATGTATATGTATATGTATATGTATATGTATATGTATATGTATATGTATATGTATATGTATATGTATATGTATATGTATATGTATATGTATATGTATATGTATATGTATATGTATATGTATATGTATATGTATATGTATGTGTATATGTATATGTATATGTATATGTGTGCATGTGTGTGTGCGTGTGCGTGTGTGTACATACTGTATACTGGGACTTGTTATTAGTTATTCAGACAATTCCTACATCTTCCAGTTGAAGAATCAAACTATTGTATAAGGATAACATAATACACATTAAATCAATATTCCCACTAAAAACAATTTCATATAATTGCTGGAACAAATTTTATGTCTAATACTGGTAAATAACACCATACTTGTTTAACTACTAAATATCAAAAACCAGTTATTTTAGTTGAGTACCTACCCAGGCTGGTAAGGATGGTAAGGGTTTCCAGCAATGACTGGCTGAGTTGGAGGAGCTGCAATCAAGAGGAGAAATTTCATTATATTTTCTTTACCCATTATGTAAACAATTAGACTTATATACCTTATTTTGCCAAATTTACAAGCAATAAATATGCCAAATTAAAGTATTTCATATCAACAGTTATCTCTTAATATAGTGTACCTGTGGTTGTATATGTTGCAGGTGGGACAGGGTAGAATGGATCCTTTGGTGGGGACTGTATGAAGCCACCTGGAGGAGGAACAAGGGGGTTGAATGACGGAACAATATTGTCATATAAACCCCCAGAGACATCAGTTTCTTTCTCAACACTTTTGCTCCTACTCCTGCTTCTTGTCTTACTCCTGCTCCTCCGGATGTCAGTCTGCGGACCACTAATGGACCAGAGATCATCACCTTCCCCAATCATATCTCCATCTTTGGAACTATTCCTTGCATCATGAATCATCTCTCGCTCAGGCACTCTCTCATCTGAGGACTTCCCATCTTGACTCCTGTGAGAATGTCTTCTGTTACTCCTCTTCTTACTTTCCTTTCCTTCCCTTTCATCATCAGAATCATGTCTGCTAGACTTCTTCTTGCTCTTCTTCTTTTTGGATTTTTTCTGCTTACCCTCAAATTCAGTACCTAATTCATCTGGCAAGCCCTGGCCGTCTCCTTCTTGATCAACCTCCCCTTCCTGTTGTTGTTCTTGTGAAGGGACTGGATCTTCTTCCATATTGTCTTTAGCTTTGCTAATGCCATTTTCATCCAAATGAGTCTCTGGCTCAGGAGAAGGCTCCATTCTCAAAGCCTCTTCTCGGTTTTCCTTGTCTGAGTCAGCTCCTCCATTTTCCATTATCCCTTCAGCGCTCTTTGGCCGTAGTGGGCTGACTGGTGGAGTGGATGTGGATGACACATTTTCAGTGATCTTAGGCTCCAAGGGACTTGCAGGTGCAGCAGGACTTCTTGGGGGTGTTGGAGTATTGAGTTTAGGAAGCATGTAAGGTGGGATGGAACACAAAGGCTCTGTTGCACCTGATTGGCGGTCCAATTTTTTATCTGTTATGAACCTGTAAAGAAACAAAAAATATTGTTGAAAACAAGAACTGAAATAGCAGTTGTGCATTTACACTATATAACATTTATGATATAATGTGTATTATCAACACCACTGATAAGGTTTATTCTTTAATAATGTAAAAGCAGTACTTTGAGAAATCAATTCAAATAATTCATCAAAAACAACAGCAACAAATAATGAGTTATGGTATAAAAAAAAAAAATGTATATCATAATTTCAAATATATACTATGAAATACATCACTTATGGAAAAATAAGAAATAAAATCAAATCATACCATCCATTCTGAAAATGTAAGGCTTTCACTCGAAGGTAACGATTGGGAATGAGTGTGTCTGGACCAACACCCTCTTTCTGGCATGAAGGGCACTCATGTTCTTCCGATTCCAGGAGATGGTTACGGATACCTGGGAAATGGAGAGTGGACAGTTATAAAATGAACAAAAATTTCCATTAGTATAAATTCATAGAACTATTCAAATCTCTGCCCTACCTACATCAACCAGTTCTACTTACAGTCATCACAGAATGCATTAGCACAGCAAGGAATTAAGACAGCATCCCTCAAGAGCTCCTTGCATAAATTACAAAGGATTTCTGGCGGCGGTGGAGGTCGGTTGGTGGGAGGCATCATCTGTTCTGGGGTTTCTGTACTGTTGTCCCTGTGGGGAAAGTTCAAAAGAAATAGTTTAGTAGAGTCTTGTACTGCATTTGATTATCTCATATTTCCCTCTTAAAAAAAAGAAGAAGAGAAATATCCATACCAAACTTTCAAACCATATGGCATTCCCCATTTGTAAAACTCATAAGCCTAATCACGTTTTAATTAATGATTCTTCAAAAGACAAACTGATTCTATGCTCCCATTCTAACTGTAAACCATAATAACATTCACCTTATTCATCCAAGCATTTAAATTATTACCATTACCATTACTTGCATAACACAACATGAGGTTACTTACATATCCATGAGGCGCACAAATTTCCCTGAAGCATTGATCATTACACCAGGTGCGTTAGGGTCATTGACCTCGACCAGGAATTTGGACGGAATGCCAGTACTCTTCCGCAAGTCTTGCTGTTATATGAAATAAAAACATGTAAAAATACTTGAACATATGGAACAATACTACTTCAGATCTCAATACATCAATCTGAAACTACCATATTTGTATTTATCTAGTTAATGGTGTGGATGTTTTTCTCTGCATTTATCATTTCAACTATTTCATTAATAAAAATCAGATATTCCACTTAGGGATTTCAAAGTTAAACTTTACTGCATCCCAAATTCTCTAAGACTCGCCAAAATAAAGTAAGACAAGCTTCTTATATTGTGTTTTCTATATATATATATATAGAAAACTAACTATAGTGGTATCTGTGGCCCTATTTCACATACTACAACCTCAAGGATGATGATATACTCACATGGCTAAGTGGACACATATTGACCCAGTGTCCACCCTGATGGCACTTGAAGCATTTATAGTCTAGCGGCACCTGACCCATCATCTTGCTGACACGAAGTTTTACATATCTGCAGGGGCAAAATAATGTATTTTACTTGCTGTTCAGAGCAATTTCTGCTGTTTTAAAAATCATGTATACATTTATCAAACTTAGCATTAGAATGTGGCCAAAAGGTATTTTAGTGTTCCTTTAAACAGAACAGTTCAGGGTCCTCACTTTGATGGATGATATGCCATTGTTGACTGCGCAACCATTGCATTAATCTTGTCATCTTCACTGCCGTCCATACGTGTTAGATCTGTCACCTGGAACACCATATATCAAGTTAGTGAATTCTCTAGTAAAAACATACCTAAATGATAATTTTGATTAGTCTATATCTGTAACTGATGGAAGAATACCATAGTATACTGCATGAGCAAAATTCCAAATTATAACTAGCAGTTTATCTATTACTAATGTTTATCTTGTTTGAAGTGACTTTACTTAAAACATGGGGGAAAAAAAGCAAATAAAGAAAAATTTAAGTTCCATGCAAAAATTACATGTACAGAAAAAAACTTTTCAAGCTAACCTCCTTGATCTTTCTGTCTATTTCGGCAGCTTCAGCAGCATCTTCTGTCTGTTGGTAGAAGACAACCTGTAGAACACTTGCCTCCCCACTCCTTGGCTTCCATTATTTGTCTGATTTAGCATTCTTTTCTTTTATCAGCATATCTTTGCTATTTCCCCATCCTCCTCCCTCCCTTCCCAACTGCTTTGTTACAACCCTTTTAGTATATACACCTTATATTCAATTTCTTGGTCTTATCTTGTTTAATTATTTTGCGAGTCCTTTTTCTCTCTTGCACGGTGGTAAGCCAAAATCAATTACCTAAAGTCTACTGGCTTTTTTATTTCTTTTTTCCTTTCCCCTTTCTTCCAATTTATATATAGTTTTAAGGCATTCATTAACTTATGACTCTCTATGAACAGATGCACAGACAGGCAGACAGGTAGAAAATCCACAAATATGAGGAAGAACACTCTTATAAGACACTTTCACACAAACTAATCTTCATTTATTTATTCGTGTATTTATCCTCTTTGTTTATTGCTGAATTGTCATCTTGTGTGTATTTCTCTTATCAATGAAAATTCTCTATATCAATATCTGCTGCTGCATAACACACATTACAAGAAACAAAATGATTTTTTTTTTTCTTTCTTTAAACAGCAGCATCTTATTTGCAAACATAAAAATAAAGTTCAGTAGATAAGAATAATGTGCAAAAATTATCTATGAATACTTTCCAACCTATAGGTAACAGTTACTGAGCAAGTATTGAAAATAGCATTTTACTACAATTCAAGTGCATTTTTACCCTAAAAATACGTTTGTTATTCTGTGAAATTATGTAAAACAAGCTGTATATTGTGCTTGATATTTTGGAACTTTCCTGAAAGGGGAGAGAATTATTTTGTTTTTCCCTTTGTAGTTCTATCTTCAGTAATGAAATGGTAATGACTGAAAACTACCATACTAAACCGTCAACCAAATATACATTAATTGCCATTACTTTGTGCATTTTCATATTCTATTAATAACATGCAGTCCTTCACCTTCACACTTTCTGATTACTGTTCACTTTTACATGACCAAATTTCTTTAAGGGTTGAATCTCAACCCTGTCAGATTTTTGGCTCTATATATCAAAGTAGTTCCATTTATTCTGGTTATCTTAGAAATTATGTCTTTGCCACATACACAAAAGGAAAAATATGCATTTCCTCCATAAAATAAATAAATAAACAAGAAAAAATGTAAGTGTTAAAATTTGGGTACACACTGCACAGCATCAACATCTAGATTCACCAACACTAAACCTTATTACTTAACAACTGGTGTTGTCTGTCATTAAAGATCATATTGTACACATTAATAGTGAAAAAAAAACATATTCCATATAATTTTACAAAGATGAAAAACCTTTGATAATTAATAGATTTAAAGAGAAAGAATTTTATACACCTATTTAATAATATTATTATTTTCCAAATAAATAGTAGTACCTTGCTTCAATATGTGTATACCAATCTCCAGGTAAAAAAAAAAACATTAATTATGTAGTTTGATGTTAACTTCTTTTCAAAACTCTGGGTATAAAACAACTTTCTTAAAGACATAAGAACATGTTTACTTAAAAAGATGCTCATACACCAAAATGTCCTAATATCTCATATATAATTTTTCCTTGTCCATTTTTTTTTCTTTTTCTTTTTCTTTTTCACACACTTTCTTTTTCACTTAAAAATCAAATATCAGCAATAGATGTTACCTTCATTAGACAACTAGGAATTCAGAAAACATGTTTGGAAAAGGCAAAAAAATAGATAAACTCTTGTCCATGTAAAAGACAGGAGATGATAGGACACGTGAGATACACAGAGAATAACAGTAGAAGAGTAACAGGCAGACAACAAAGACAGATAGATAGACAGACAGACTGAGACAGAGGAAGAGCAAGGGGCAAGAGGAAGAGGGAGAAAAACTACTAGTGACTCTTATATGGTTGATCAATCACTGTGTCCAATCATGGTTGGATGTGTGTAAAAATTTGGACTAAAAAAGGGAAAGATATTTAATTCAAGAGCTCAACTAGGCCTGGCTCCTTCTCCTCTGATTTTCAGCATGACAACATATCTGCTAATTTAGTCCAAAGCAAACAAGTCTTTACATGGCATGGCATAGCATAGTCATACTATAGTTTTACTTATGCTCAAAATACTTTCAAGTTATTTGTTCAAGCAGTCAAAATATACTCTATGGTTTTATGTAAGGCTAGAAGCCAGAGGACAAATACATCAGTTTCAAATACATGACCTCTTGAACAGTTATGGGTGTATACTTTCCTAGTAAGAGAAAGAGAAAGAGAGAGAGAAGGGGGGGAGAGAGAGAGAAGGGGGGGAGAGAGAGAGAGAGAGAGAGAGAGAGAGAGAGAGAGAGAGAGAGAGAGAGAGAGAGAGAGAGAGAGAGAGAGAGAGAGAGAGTGAGAGAGAGTGAGAGAGTGAGAGAGAGAGAGAGAGAGAGAGAGAGAGAGAGAGAGAGAGAGAGAGAGAGAGAGAGAGAGAGAGAGAGAGAGAGAGAGAGAGAGAGAGAGTGAGAGAGAGAGAGAGTGAGAGAGAGAGAGAGAGTGAGAGAGAGAAAGAGAGAGAGAGAGAGAGAGAGAGAGAGAGAGAGAGAGAGAGAGAGAGAGAGAGAGAGAGAGAGAGAGTGAGAGAGAGAGTGAGAGAGAGAGAGAGAGAGAGAGAGAGAGAGAGAGAGAGAGAGAGAGAGAGAGAGAGAGAGAGAGAGAGAGAGAGAGAGAGAGAGAGAGAGAGAGAATGAAAGTGAGAATGAGTGTGTGTGTGTTTGTTAATATTTGTACATATGTTTGTGTGTATGTGTATGTGTGTATGTATGCATGTACATATGTATGTCTATATGTATGTATGTATGTATGTATGTATGTATGTATGAATGTATGTATGTACGTATGTATGTACGTATGTACGTACGTATGTATGTACGGATGTATGTACATATGTATGTATGTACATATGTATGTGCGTACGTATATATATACGTACGTACATATGTACGTACGCACATATGTATGTACGTACATATGTATGTATGTACATATGTATGTATGTACATATGTATAAATGTATGTATGTACATATGTATAAATGTATGTATGTAAGGAATTATATATATATATATATATATTTTTATATATTTTTATATATATTTATATATATATGTTTATATATATATGTTTATATATATATATATGTTTATATATATATATATGTTTATATATATATCTATATATATATTTATACATAAATTTACATATATATATATTTATATATACAGTAAGTCCCCAACTTAAGAACATAATGGGGACCAAGAGGCTGTTTGTAAGTTGCTTTGTTTGTATGTTCAAAGTCAGGTCTCCATTACCTTTTTCCCATTCCTTTAAAGTTTTATTTACATTAAGAATACCTGTAAATAAATCTCCATAAGTACGACAAACCTTATACAATACCAGACTATATTCATGCCCGGGAAATTTGAAGTTTCCAAGCATTTTTCAAACATGGTTGGGTGGGACTTTAGGACGGTGGGGGGATATAGGGAAGTATCTAAGTAGAATGTGTTCGGTTAAGAAGGGGACGAGCGGGAGAGGGAGAGGGAGAGATTAGAGTAGATTATATAAAGAGAGAGATAGAGAGGATTAGAGAGATACGAAGAGAAGAGAGACGAAGAGAGAGAGAGATAGATGATATGACGAATAGAGAGATAGATAGAGAAGATAGACGAAGAGAGATAGAGAGAGAGAGATGAGAAGATAGAGATGAGATATATAGACGAAGAGACAGAGAGAGAGAGATAGAGAGACTTAAGGAGAGATAGAGAGACGAAGATGAGAGTAGAGAGGAGATACGCGAGATATATATATATCGAGATATAGATAGAGAGAGAGGAGGAGAGAGAGCGAGAGATGAGTATAGAGAGAGAGAGAGATTATATGATCGAGAGATAGATAGAGGAGAGATGGAGAGAGAGAGAGAGCGAAGAAGATAGAGAGAGATGAGAGATGAGAGAGATAGAGAGAGAGAGTAGGAGATAAGAGATGAGAGAGAGAGAGAGAGTATAAGAAGAGAGAGAAGATAGAGTAGATAGGAGTAATAGAGAGTAGAGATAGAGATAGAGATAGAGATATATAGATAGACATATATAGAATATATAGTGAGGATATATATATAAAAAAATATGAGTAGGATAGATATAGATATATATATTAGTATATATATATATATATAGTAGTAATCTATATATCAGATGAGTAATATTATAGTATAATCTTAGGTGTATAGAGGATAGATTATGAGAGATTATTATAGAGGATATATATAGAGAGATATATATATATTAGTATATATAGATATATAGGAGTAGATAGATAGAGAATATAGTAGAGAGAGATAATAAGATGTAGTGCATATAGATAGAGCTAGATATATATAATATAATATATATATAGATATTATAGAGACTAGTGTATATAGTATATAGTATATATAGAGAGATATCTAGGAGATATATTAATATATATATATATGAGAGATTAGTAGTAGTATAGATCGTAGGTAGTAGATATAGGATAGAGAGATTAGTATATATATATAATATAGAGTAGACAGATAGGAGTAGATATATATATATATATATACATAGATTAGTAGATATATATATATATATATATATACATTATAGTAGATATATAGATATATATAGATAACATATATTAGTAGGTATATAGATATAAGATATATATACATATATTAGATAGAGATATATATAGATATATATAGATCATATATATAGTTATATATATATATATATATAGTATATATATATGTCCTAATATAGATATATGTACAATATATATATATATACTAATATAATATTACTAATATTTATATAATATTACTAAATATATATATATATATACTAAATATCTATTATGTATATATACTAATATATAGTATATATATCACTTAATATATATATATATATATATACTATATAAT